GTAGTTCCTTCTTTTAGTGTGAATGTAGGTGCACTGTTTGGTGATTTCGTGTCAGCACGATGTGAGCATCTTTGATGTCTGAAGCAGTTAAGTGCCGTTTTGCATTGGCATCTTTCATAGTCCACGACCGGTCGCGCGACTGATCGCGCGACTGATCGCGCGACTGGTCGCCAGTCGCTAGCGACCGGTCGCGCGATCGATCGCGCGACTGGTCGTGGACTATGAAAGATGTCATTGCGTTCGTGGCTACCAGGTAATACACGTCGTAATTTGTTCCGAAGTGGTTCCTCAATTCGAATACTGATTCTTTTCAAGAATCGAATGACATAGACTAGAATCCTCAAAGACTTTGACTTGCTACTATATCTGGATAGGTCAAGAATATCCTCAACTTGACTCTTCTCCATTTTCGCGGCATTTACTTGTGCAGAAGGTGGATAGTCTTCCACCACATCTTCCTGTTCTGGATCGTCTGGAAGACAGAATAAGGTGGATGTAAATCTTTCTTTCAAGGTATTTTGTGAATATCCGCTCCACCAAATATGTGATGAAAATTCCTGAGTCGAGGTTCCTCTTGTTCCTATGTCCGCTAGATTCCACTTTGTGTCAATGTAGCCGTACTTGATACTTGACTTCAATCCCTTCTTAAAAAAGGGATTGTGTGATTTGTCGAACTTCTCTGATCCGGTTTTACGCATGCTCCTGTTCTTTCCCGATTTGGTTTGCTTTGAAGCCATTTCAATGCTATCTCCGAATCCATTGAGAACACGATCTTTGAAATGTTCAGTGAGGATTTCATGCTCAGAAACACGGTAAATGTTAGGCGTACACCGACTGCTATGGCGTTCAGTTCCATTTTAGGTATTGTGGTTGGATGCTTCGCGTTTGATATTTTTGATTTTGCCATAAGAAGGTGAGATGTGTCCTCCGTAGTTAGATAGGTGCACGCTGTCATGGCAATCGCACTGGCATGGAATATGTGACCAGTGCATACGACTTCATGTCATCCTGTGTAATTTTCCTTGGCAACTCCTTGCGGAATTCTGCTATTTCTTGGACGATATTTTCCCACTGTTGCTTGTGTCTTTCGTTCAGAGGTTCGTCCCAATCGTAGTGATGTTTTCAGAGAAATTGTTGAAGATGCTTCGCCTTTGCAAAAAGTGGGATGAACCATCCAAATGGATCGTACACGGATGCAATTTGTTGTGCGATTACGCGTTTGCTGATGATTTCTTCACGCTGTACGTTTACGCGCAATGAAAATTTGTCCGTGGTCGAGTTCCAATTTATCCCAAGTACTTCGGGTGCTGTGTTGGAAGATCGATCAGGGGCTGATATAACTTTCATGATTTCAGGGCTATTGCTTAGAAATGCTCTAAGATTCATTTTGAGGTCATTGAAGATTGGCTTCAAACATCTGTATTTGTGTATTCCTTCCTTTGTAGTAATTGCGCTAACAATTAGATTGTCCACATATAGGTTGGATGCGATTTCTGTTGCGAGTGCTTTGTCCTTCACATGGTTGTCCAAATGAAAATGGATTGTTGCACTCAATAGAAATGGTGAGGCATTAATACCGAAAGTGACCCTCCTGAATCTGTAGACGACTAGATTGTCTTCTGTCAGTGGCTTAATTACATTCTTGAGCCGTAAGCATCGAGTGAAGTCTCTGTCTTCTTCATACAGATGCACTTGAAGGAATGCTTTCTCTACATCCGACAGTAGGACGAATTTCCCAGTGCGGAAGCGTAGAAGCATGCCATAAAGTTTAGGGAGTATGGTAGGCCCTTGATGCGCTACGACATTAAGTGACGGGCAGTTTTTGTAATGCGCCGATGCATCGAAAACAACTCTGAATTCAGTGGTATCTTTCTGTGGAGTAATAACAGGCTGATGAGGAAGATAGTGTT